TGGTTTTTTTTTTGTGGCATTGCTGATTTCTTTGTTCCATAAAATTTTCTGTGCTGAGCTCATTTTGTTTAAGATTTTTTAAATCATTTCCTTCATTGCTATTTTTTTAGTATTTGCTATGATGTTCTTCTTTTTTATTTTGATGAGAAGGTTTATTAATTTTCTATGATTTATTATTTTCTTCCCAAGTTTAAAATAGTCTGTTTTATACTGAAATCATTTTGACTTTCTCCCTATTTAGAAGTTTTGTAACTACACTATTTATTCCTTCTTTTTGCTTTGTAGTTGTCCTTATTCACAAATTGATGTCTCTAGTTTTCTGTTTTCAGTCTCGTAAGTTTATTTTACTTTGGGTCCCTCTATATCAGGGTTGGTTTGTGAGTTATGTTGTCATGTGTGTGAATCACAGGTTGTTGTCTCTTGTTGGTTCTCTGTCCAAAGGACTCCCTTCAGCATCACTTCTAAGGTTGGTTGGATTTTTACAAATTCCTTTAATTCCTGTTTACTTGGTGTTTTAGTGATCTTGAGCTGCTGTAACAGAAAATACTACAAATGAGTGGCTTTAACAAATAGGGATTTTTTGGAGGTTAGAAGTCAATGTTCAATGTGCCAAGCTCTAGGGGTTGGGTGAAAGCCCCTTGACTTTGAGCTTCAGCTCTGTCTCTTGCTCCCGTGAAGTGGGAGGCTTTTCTTAACTCAGGCAGCTGCTGGCAGCTGAGGTTGGCAAACTGAAGGTCATCAAATAGAAAGGCACAGTCACAAGATTATCTAACAACATGGCAGGCCACTAGTTCAAGTCCAGAAAAAATCCTAAGATCAGCAGGGCACATGTTGAACGAAGACTTAGCTACATGAGGGGTCCAAGTGTGCCAAAAAGCTGCAGACCATTCCCAAAGCTTCTCCTTATATACTGGAAGCAGACCTTATCCCTAAGACAGCTACTCAGCTGTTCCAGTAGATTCCACCATGGAGTTGATTTCCAATCTCATCAGGGGGAATAACTATATCCAGCTGACCAGCCACTCAAAACCAAGCTAGCCAAGTTGACACATAACCTTAACTACCACACTTGGAAATGTCCAAATTTTGCCATCATATTCGAGGGACAATTTTGTTGGATATATAATTCCTAGTTGGCACATTTTTTTTTTCTTTCAGGGTTTTATGTAGGTCACCCCATTGTCTCCTCACCTGCATGGTTTCTACCAAGAAATAGAGCTCAGTTTTATTGATTGCCCTTTATAGATAATTTCATTTTTTTCCTGAGCTGCTTTCTAGCTTTCTTCATTGTCTTTGGTTTTGGAAAGTTTGGTTAAATGTCTTGGTGATTTTTGGGGGGAGGTCTATCCTATTTGGGGTTCACTGAATTTCTTGAATGTATATCTTCTCATCTTTCATCATATTAGGGAAGTTCTCTTCCAAAAAACCTTCAACAATTTTCTCTGTAGTTTTATTTGTCTCTTCCTGTTTTGGAATTCTGATCATATATAAGTTACTCCTCTTGATGGTGTCTCATATAAATCTTGTTGTTGTTGTTGTTATGTGCTGTCGACCCATAGCGACCCTTCCTTGGGTTTCAGAGGCAATGTCACTACTTTCTTTATTGTTGTTGTTATTCTTTTTTTCTGATTATTCCCTTAATAAAGTAGTACTGAGAGATATGTCTTTAATCTCACTAATTCTGCCTTACATTGATTAAATTCTATTCCTTTGCCCATTCAACATGTTATGTATTTCTGAAATCTCAGTATTAGCCTTCTGGATTTCTATTTGCTGTTTTTGTATGGTTTATAATTTTTCATTTATTTTGTCAGATTTTCTTGTATAGTTTTGCTAAACTCTTCTAGAGCTTTGTCTCTGTTTTCTTTAATTTTGTCAGCATTTTTCTTGATCTGTTTCTCAATCTATTGAAGGTACCTAAATATGATTCTTTTGAAGTCCTTGTCAGGTAGTTCCAATGCCACTTCTCCCACAAGGTTTTCTGGGTCTTTACTTTGGTCCCTTGTCTATACTACTTTATCTTGCTTCTTTGTGGGTGGATTGGGATTGTCAGCTGTCTGACACAATGTCTAACATTGGGATGTCATTGCATTTGTATTTAATTGATGATTATATGTTGGTGTGATTCTCCCAGCTTTTGTTTTTGTTTTGCTTTATCTTGCTTTGATATATCCAAGTAAGTGGGGCTGGTGTGATACTCTATTGGCTAGTTTGGCAGCATTTAGTCACTCATGACCTGTCTCTCAGTAGGTGTAATAGAGAATGAGAATGTGTGTACAGATCTCTGTTTGCTGTTTGTGTAGAGCAATTGAGGGCAGACTGAGCTAGTATTGGCTACTATCTATCATTGACTAGTTGGTGCAGAAACAGGTAGTGGCCCTTGCTCAGTGGCTGGGGCTTCAGGAGGTGCGGATATGGTTAGGTCATGTGGGCATGGTTGCTTTCTGATTAGCAGCCACCAGTGTGGGTGCCTGTGCAGTCACTGGCACATGGAGCCAATTATCAGGTTGCTTTCCCAAATGGGAATTGCAAATATTCAAATATTCAAAATGGCTACACCATCAGGCCAGTCAACAGTTCACAGTTATGTTTATCTCCTTATTTTCTGTTTTCATTCAATTTCTTCTACTAGTAAGTAATTAATCCCATTCTCTGTCCTTCCATTTGATGCTCAGGATTCCAGGATCATCATCATTTGTACACGTTGTAATTAGTTTCTTGATTTTTAGCTTGTCTGCCTATTCAGCCATCTTTCCAGAAGTCCCAATTTATGGACATTTCTATTATAGATGGATGATTAGCTGAGGAACAAAACACTTTATAATGTAAAAATATATAAAATTATGATAAATGTGGGTTAAATAGATGAGAAATATATGTTCAAGGAGAAAAAAGAATGATATGAAATTTATTGCCAAAACTGTAGCCAAAACTGCATTAACCACTGTACCACCAGAGTTTCTTAAAGCCTTACATAGACCTCTATTAAAATGGAAAGAGTTCTGGTGGTGTAGTAGATAAAGCATTTTGTTGCTAACCAGAAAGCCAGTGGTTTAAACCCACCAGCTGCTCCACAGGAGGAAGATGAAGAACTCTACTTCTGCAAAGATTTACAGTTTTGGGAACTCAATGAGGGTCTAAAAGAATTAATGACCCCTGTAGGGGTAGTGGTTAAGCAGTTGGCTGCTAACTAAAATCTTAATGGTTCAAATCCATCAATTCCTAATACCCATGAAAGCAGCACTTAAGGTATTAAATAACAAATTGGGCAAATCTGCTGCAAAAACCTCTTTAAAGTGTTAAAAAGTAAAGCTGTTACTTTGATGACTAAGGTGTGCCTAACCCAAGCCATGGCATTTTTCAGTTGCCTCATAAGCATGGTGCATTTGAATTGTGGTGTTGGTGAAGAATAAGGAATGTGCCATGGACTGCCAGAAGACTAAATAACTTTTTCCTGGAAAAAGTGCAGCCAGAATGCTCCTTAGTAGCACAAATAGCAAGACTTCATCTCACATACTTTGGACACGTTATCAGGAAGGACCAGTCCCTGGAAAAGGACATACTACTTGGTAAAGTAGAGGGTCAGTGAAAAAGAGAAAGACCCTCAATGAGGGGGATTTACACACTGACTGCAACAATGGACTCAAACAGAGCAATGATTGTGAGGGTGGCACAGGACTGGGCTGTTTCATTCTATTGCACACAGAGTTGCTATGAGTTGGAACCAAGTTCACAGTATCTAACAACAACAACAACAAAAGAAGACATTGTTTGTGTATCTTTTCATAAATGATGTTGATATCAAGTACTTAAGATGTCTAAACTCCAATGGATATGTGTAAAAGAATTACAGAAACATTTTGTTATTATTTGGCTTTGCAAATCATTTAAACTTATAATGAAACTTTCTATATGTTAACTAAAAAATGTGTGAGTGGATACATAGTTTTCAAATTTTATTTAGAATTATTATATGCCATTATGCTGCACTATAGTAAATTTAAACAAGACAAACCAGGTGGGCTGGTATGTGTCCTAAAATAAATGCTTTTCCTTCAATAGTAATTTCATCAGATCATAGACACATATTTCCTAAAGTGAAGGTTCTTCATAGATTTATGGCTTTAAAGAAAAAAATATGCTAGAATATGTCTGGTTTAGAAACTGCATATTGAAACTAATAAAATTTTTAAAAAGGTATTAATCCTAGTAAAAAGCTACAAAATTTTTATTTTCTTTGTACTTACTTTAGAAATAATTATAGACTTTACTGTTCAAAGATGATTTTGGAAAACTTCTCCAACAATCAATATGTTTTGGGGATGAATACCCATTTTAGTATAAACCCACTGCCACTGAGTCCATTCTAACTGATAGCGACCCCCATTGGGTTTCCAAATCCGTAAATCTTTTCAGAAGTAGATTTCCTCATCTTCCACTTGTGGAGCAGCTGGTGGGTTTTAACCGATGACCTTCTGGTTAGCAACCAAATGCCTTATTCACTATATCACCAGAGCTCCTTCCATTTTAATACAAGTCTATGCAAGCCGATAAGGACTCCAGTGGCACAGTGGTTAAGGCATTTGGCTGCTAAACAAAAGGTCAGTGGCTTGAACCTACCAGCTGCTCCACAAAGAAAGATGAGGCAGCCTGGTCCCATAAAGATTTACTGTTTTGGACAGCCAATGGGGGTCAATGTAAGTTGGAATTGACTTGATATCAATAAGTTTGGTTTTTGGATACAAGTTTATAAATACGTAGGAGAGTCTGTTTCTTAAACATGTTAACTATTTCTAAGCCACATTTTAATTATTTGGGATTACAGATATTTGGGTGATCCCTGCCTCCCTTTCCTTCTCTATGAGTGATACATGAGAATTTAAGTGAAGTTTTTCAATTTGTATATCCATTGCTAAATCACCTTTTAAAAATTTTCTGTGAGGATTTGGGAATATTTTCACATGATCATTAACCACATGTCAAATTCTTTGAGTACTTACCCTCTGTTACATTTGGCTATTTCATCAAACAGAATTTTCCACCGAGGACGTCCAATAAAAAGTCTTGAATTCAATGCCTGATATTTTTCTCCAATAATTTTCTGCCAAAAAGAAAGCATTTTACTTATAGGACTCACAGATTTAGAACTATAACTCATTACTCTAACATAATTTCTGCTGGTGCTGTGGCTTGCTACCAAATTTCAGTGATGTAAACAATATAAGTGTCAGAGACAGGCCAAGATGGTAGCCTAGTCAGACACCACATGCCATCTCTCTATACCAGATACCTGAGAAACCCGGTGAAATGGACAGATGACAATCCTGGAAAACATAAGGATAAAGAATAGAATCAAACATCAACTGGAAGAAAAAATGGAAAGAACATAGTAAAGGATGAGTGATATGGAGCATAGGTGTATACATCAGAGTATACACCAGCCATACCAGCTCAACGTGGCCATCTTGAGACAAAGCCAGTGGCAACCTGGAGAGAAGCACAGAAAGGCAACTTCATGACATCCCCTGTAAGATACAGAGAAACTATGTACAAACACCCAAAATGAAGCAAGGTAAGTAGAACACGGTCCAGATCTAAGGAGAGAAAGCATAGGAAAGAGGGTAAGAGTTCCAGGGATCTTGGTGTCCACAGAACAAGGAGGGAGCCAGGATCCAAAGTCAGCTACTCTTATGAGTGGCAGTCCCTGATCATTAAGGTGAGTGGGATACATGAACAATAGATCCATAGACTGTCAATGGGAGGTTCCTCACCTGACTGCCAAATGACCATATCAACTCAAGAAGCAGAGGCAACTGTGCTCTTGTCCACCCATCTATCACTCCCCCAGCCTGGTAAACAGTGGTGACCACACTTCCATGTGCTCACTGGCCACCTTCTACACCCTCAACCAATGATCAGAGGTAATTGCATGCTCCTGTGCCTTCCTCCACCCACTCACCCCAGCCTGACTATGCTCCTGTGTGCTCACCAACCCACCTTCCACAACCCAACTCAATAAGCTGCAGCAACCTCATGCTCCCTTGCCTTCAGCCATACACTTCCTACCTACCACATTCAAAATGGATCAAAGACCTAAATGTAAAACCTAAAATTACATAGTTCCTGGAAGAAATCATAGGGACAAACCTAGGAGCCCTAATATATGGAATAAATAGACTCTCAAACATAACTAGAAATGCACAAACATCAGAGTATAAACTAGAAAACTGGGAGCTCTTATAAATTCAATAGTCATTCTCAACAAATAACTTCACCAAAAGAGTAAAAAGAGAATCTACAGACTGGGGAAAAAAATTGCAATGACACATTCAGCGAGGGTCTAATTTCTAAAATTTATTGAAAACTTCAATATCTCAACTACAAAAAGACAAACAATCCACTTAAAAAAATGGGCAAAAGACATAAACAGACACTTCACCAACAAGGACATTCAACCAGCTTATGAACACATGAAAAGATGCTTACGCTCATTAGTGATGAGAGAAACGTAAGTCAAAACTATAAGATACCACCTCTTCCCTGACATAATGGTACTGGTCAATAAAAAGAACAACACATGTCAGAGAGGCTGCTGCTGCTAGGACTGCAAAATGGTGCAACCACTATCGAAAGCCCTATACTGCTGCCTTATAAAGCTAGAAATAGAAATATCACATGATCCTGAAATCCTACTCCTAGATACATACCTTAGAGAAATAAGAGCTGTGACCTGAATAAACATACGTACACCCATGTTCATCACAGCATTATTCACAATAGCAAAAAGATGGCAACAACCTAAATGCCCATAAATGGATTAATAGATAAACTATATATGTGGTATATACATATGATGTAATACTACACAATAAAGAATAATGATGAATCTGTGAAACATCTCACAACATGGATGAATCTGAAATATACTATCTGAGTGAAAAAAGTCAAACAAAAAAGAACAAATATTGTATAAGACTGCTATTATAAAAAGTCAGGAAACAGATTTACATACAGAAATAAACACTTCTTGATGGTTACCCAGGGATGGGAAGGGAAGGGAGTGAGAATCACAAACTAGGTAGTATACAAGTGTTAATCATGGTGGAAAAAAAAACAAACTCACTGCAATTGACTCGTTTCTGACTTATGTTGTTGTTGTTGTTATGTGCCGTCGAGTCGACCCCGACTCATAGCGACCCCTCCTTGGGTTTCCGAGGCAGTATCACTACGGAAGTAGGATTGCCCAACCTTCCTTCCGAGGAGTGGCTGGTGGGTTTGAACCGCCAGCCGTCTGGTTAGCAGGCAAGTGTCTTAGCCACTATGCTACCAGATTCTGACTTATAGTGACCCTCATTTTGGGTTTCCAAGGCTGTAAATCTATGGAAGTAGATCGCCCTGTCTTCCTTCCATGGAGCAGCTGGTGAGTTTGAACCGCTGACCTTCTGGTTAGCAGTCAAGTGTCTTATCATTATGCCACCATACCACCTTTAATTATGGTGAAAGGAAAGGCAATTCACAACATGGGGGAAGTCAGCATAATGTAACCAAGGTAAAGAAGACAATGAAAGATATGTAAAAATAACGGGCAACTATGGTAAAAGCTAAGAAGCTCTGGTCTTACAGTGGTAAGTTATTTGGCTGCTAACTAGAAGGTTTGCAGTTCATAACCCATCAGCTGCTCCATGCAAAGAGGATGGGGTGATCTAATTCCATAAAGATTTATAGTATTGGAAACCCAATGAGAATCGTTATCAGTAGAAATTCACTTGATAGCATTGAGTTTGGTTTTTTGTATGGTAAATGCTATAACATATATAAACCAGCAAATAATTTGTGAGTAGATAAATAAGTGAATATATATGCTAAATAGGTGAGGGAAGCCATACCAGAGTATATTTGAAATATAGGTACATATATATCTGTAAATGCTACATGTATACTCATATATATATAACAGAACAAATAGAGGGCACAATTATAGAAACTGTTTAGCTATAAGGACTGAACTATTGGACTTGAAAGGTAAGGACATAATCTTGGAGGATATTTAGGTCAACTGGCAAAACACAATTCATAAAGATAGTGCTCTATATCCTAATACGATAAGTAGCATCTGAGGTCTTAAAAGCTTCCAAGCACCATTTAAGAAGCAATTAGCAGTCACTTCCCACCTGGAGCAAAGAGAATGGAAAAAACCAAAGACTCAAGGAAGCAATTTGTCAAAATAACTAATGGCCCACATAAACCACAACCTTCTCTACCCTAAGACCAGAAGAACTAGATGGTGCCTGGCTACCACGATAGTCCATGCTGACCAGTACCATGACAGAAGGTCCCAGTTAGAATGGGTAAAGATGTAGAACAAAATTCAAATTAAAAAAGAAAAAAGCCAGTTTTACTTGTCTGAAAAGAGACTGGAGGACCCCTGAGATTATTGTCCTAATACAACCTTCTAACTTGAAACTCAAGACACTCCTGGAGGCCAGCTCTCAGCCAAATGGTAGAAGGCCTATAAAATAAACAGTAACACCTGTGAAGACTGTGATCTTCAGAACAATCAACCATCCAAGACCAAAAGTGCTACATTTGCCCAGAACTAAAGATGAGAAGGCAGGGAGGGACAGGGAAACCAAATGGATGGAAATGGGAACGTGAGGGAGGAAATGGGGATAGTGCTGACATATTGTAGGGATTGCAACCAATGTCACAGGATATTTTGGGTATGAGTTATTGATCATAAAACTAATTTGCTATGTAAACTTTCACCTAATTTACAATAAAATGTTCAAAAATATACGTGTCAAACAATAAACTATTAAGCACAGTCATTTCAAAGCATCATTTCCTTCTTCTTTTCCTTTAAAATCCATTATCTTGAATGTCATTCTTACAAATAAATAATTTCCCTAGACTTCAGTTTGTTACTTCATTTAAACAACTGCAATATAAACCAAAGAATGCACTTTAATTGCCCACTCTCAAATAAAGGCTCAGTACATAAACTTTACTGAAGTATTTGTACTATGAATACAGTTGTCATCTTTAGCTCATTATAGAAATGAAATATTACAAATTGTCATCATAAATTTGGAAAAAACAATCCTAGAAAAGACAGCCCAAGTCAGTAGACCTCCAATCTTGAGTCAATCAACAAATGACTCCTACTGGCTATTTCCAATTAATGGAACCCAAAACAAACCAAACCCATTGCTGTTAAGTCAATTCCAACTCATGGTGACCCTACAAGACAGAGTAGAACTGTTCATCAGAAGCAAACTGCCAAATCTTTTCCTCCTGGTGGGTTCAAACCATTAAAGTTTCAGTTTGCAGCTGAGCAGTTATCCACTGTACCACCAAGGTTCCTTAATTAATAGAACATTAGCTCTGAACAGGTGGTGAAAAGTAGAATGAAGTGAGCAGAGAGGAGAAAGTGTCCAATACTCAGGCTGAGTGTCTAGTATATCTGGGAACCAAATGTAATTTATGCTTAATCCCTTATTACAATTGTATCATGAGGAATAATGAGGCTTCATGAGAGCAGCATAGTAAAATGATATTTTTTTTTAATGTGACAAAAAGGTTAAAAATCTGTAAGAAAAATAATATATGTGGAATAGGGTTTTGAGGCAATAGACAAGCATTCATATTTTGTATGCAATAAAACAAACAAAAAAACCCCAACAAACTCACTGCCATTGAGTCAGTTCTGACTCATAGCAACCCTTCCTTGGGTTTCCAAGGTGGTATCTCTACGGAAGTTGATTGTCCAGTCTTCCTTCCAAGGAGTGGCTGGTGGGTTTGAACCACCAGCCTTCTGGTTAGCAGTCAAATGCCTTATGCACTATGCCACCAGAGCTTCTTTTGTTTACAAAGTATTATATAAATGTTTATTAGAAAAATACTAAAATAAAATTTGGGAAAAAATTTACACCCAGATTTGTATGCTTATCCAGCCCTTTAAATGCTGACTCTAAATATTCATTTTATTATCTGTAAAATGGGGATAATAACACCATCTACTTCTGGAATTTGTTGAGATAATATGAGATAATGTATATGAAATGCTTAGTATAGTGTCTAGCACAGTAAGTGAATAATGCATAATGGCTATTATTATGTTTTTAGTTTTCCATAGAGGAAAATAAGCTGAATTTTATAAAACCTCATCTTCTATCTCTTTTTAAAACCTTTTTTTTTTTTTAAGTTTTTTGAGTAACATGGTCACAAGACTTCTTTTATGGATTGATCTCTAAGGTTAAAGAACTTGAGGCTATAGTTAAGAGAAGAAAGATAGACTCAGAATGTCTGGTCCAGTCTCATGTGAGAAAGACACATGAAAGGCATAATATGGATGACTTCAAGGGCAAGCCACGACTATTATGGACACAGTCCAATGGAGGCTCTCCTGTAGGAAATTTCTGTATGAAACACCTGCAGAAATTCTCTTCCAGAACAGCTCCTACAGTAAATCTTCTATTACCAAGAGGCTTGTTTAATTTACAAAAACATCCAACCACATACCTGTATCCCATCTGTTTGACTGAGGTACAGCTGGATGTTGACATAGTCAGGTCTGTTCTCTTGCCAAAACTGAAAGGACATAAAAATGAATAGACTTACTAAAATTCTTTCTGTACACTCAGACATTTTCCTATTATAACATATTATTCTATAATTTGTTGACACATATCTTCACTTATCATAGTCAATATCTATAAGTAGATTATACACACACACACACACACACACATAGTCACATACCCACAAACACACATACACATATACACCATGGACTACTGGAAGAATGAACAAATTACTCTGGGAAGAAGTACAGGCAAAATGCTCCTTAGAAGTGAGGATACTGAGACTGTCTCACACATTTTGGACATTTTACCAGGAGGGTCCCTAGACATCATGCTTGGTAAAGTAGAAGGTCAGCAAAAAAGGGGAAAGCCTTCAACAAGATAGATTGACACAGTAGTTGCAGAAATAGGCTCAACCACAGCAATGGCTGTGAGGATGACAGAGGATTGGGAAATGTTTCATTATGTTTTATGTATGGTTGCTGTGAGTTGGTACTGACTCCACCCCATCTCACAATAGACACATCTGATTCAAACATTAATAACCTACCCCACTGGTATAAATTAGGTATGATGGTGCTGTTGGAGGGGGCTCTGGTGGCGTAGTGCCTAAGGCATTTGACTGCTAACCAGAAGGTAGCGGACCGAACCCACCAAGCTGCTCCTCGGAAAGAAGACTGGGCAATCTACTTCCATAGATACACCACCTCAGAAACCCAAGGAGGGTTTATTATGAGTTTAACTGACTCAACAGCAGTGAGTTTGGTTTAATTTTGGGTTGGTGGTATTAGAAGGGAATAATTCTCTCTTAGGTTTACAGATGTAAAATCTAGCAAACTGAATACTACACTGATTTTCACTTAAGTATATCCCAAATATTATTATTCTTTATTTTCTTCCCACTGAACTCCTAAAAAAATTTATCCAGGAGTTTACTCATAAAGTAAACAGTATGATTCACTTAAAAAACAAAAAAGTCAATAGTGATATATAACAACTAGAAATAAGCATAACAAATTTTAGCCTGTTAATTTTTCTAACTCGTTTGAACCTAAAGAAGTACAAAAAACAAATCCATTGCTTTCAAATAATTTCTGACTCAGCAGCTCTCATAGGGTTTCAAGGCTGTAAATCTTTATGGAAGCAGACAGCCTCATCTTTCTTCAGTGGAGCACTTGGTGGGTTTGAACCACTGACCTTTTGGTTAGCAACACAAAGTTTTCATGACTATACCACCAGAGCTACTTTCCAGAAATACAGGGAATGTTAAAATACAAAACAACACAAACAAAAACAATGAAAAGACACATGTTTCTCCTCCTGCCTTCCCTCTATTACACTTATATAAAAATGTAAGAAGTAGGAACTCTACTTGCCAGAATAAAATAGTATGGAAAACATACTGAACAGTTCAATATCCTGAAAAATAAACTTACTAAGAGAAACGTTATCTGAAGGAAAATAGGGGCAAAGAGTTGTCTTCATATGCTTCCTTTTTCTAGAAGACTAAAATGAAGCTAGTAATGATTGGCTTTGCTCCAACTACACTTTATTGCTATTGGTCTCTCTTTTTCTCCCCTCCTCCTTCCTTGACACACACATACTAACACACACACACACACACAAACTATAAACTTGGTGACACAGATACTAACACAAAAAAGATATATCCATACCATAAAATACTTTATAGTAATGAAAAGAAGGAGGTAATTCTATTTTGTATAAATACCAAAAAATATTAAAGACATAAATTAATAAATGTTCAACATATAAATTATTTTTTTTTTAAAAAAAAGCAATTTCCAGAAGTATATACATAGTATACCACAATTTATAGAATATTCACAAGTTACCTCTTTTTACATAGACCGGGTGGGGAAAGTAGCCAGGGAGGATTTTGTTTTGTTTTATTTGTTTGAAAAATTTGCAGCACACAAAGATAAATAAGTAAGAGGTAAATAAGTTTCCCTCCATATGCCTTCTCTTACTACCCTGCAGACATATGCATACATTTCTATGTAATAGCATTCTTTGTTATAGGTATATATTCATACAGACAAACACTAATAATCTGGAAAGATAGGTACCAAATCACTGACAGGAGTTAGGTCTGTGTTTTAGGTGTACAGTTTTTTTTTTTTTTTTTCCTCCTCTTATTTATCTGCATATTTTCTTATGTATTCTATGACAAGCATTTGTTCCTTTTGTAGTAGGAAAAACAATTGCTGGAATTCTTTTCTAAAGTTAGAAAAAAAAGTTGCAAAACTAAAAGCAATGCTGATTTTACCTTGTTATGCAACACACAGAGTAAGTCTGCAAACCAACGGAAAGATTGAATCTCTCTGCACACCCAAATAAAATACAGTCTTCTAAGCTTGTATGGTTTCCAGTCATCCCTTTAAAGTTAAAATAATGGAGTGGGTATTAGGATGGCAAAATGAAATTAATGAACCTACAGATTCTTAAAAGTTTGCCTTTCATTAGCAAGCAATCAAGAGTAAACCCAGTCATTTATATTCTAGTGACTTACTTATACAGCACTTTCTATAACCCCAAGTGAATTTAAAATGCAATATGATGACTTAAAGACAAAACATACCCCATAAATTTAAATTACTGTAATTGTGAATGTTCTATGAATATCTCCTGTTTCCTGTAGAAAGTACTAGACTCAACTTCTGGATCAAGATAACATCAGATCCATCCTGCATCTTAAGAAAAACAAGTACTCTATTTTCAGTGATCCTATCACTGAGTAGGGCTCCACAGGTCAGCCAGTCTGGTCCTGGCTTCCAAGTAAAATGAACTAAGACCATTCCAGAAAGTTGGTTGTTTATCCCTTTCTTAATAATTATTAAAGAAAGAGATTTCACAATCATCTAATATGTAATGCATTCCAGCAAAGTATAATTCCAAGTCTGGATTCCTATTTATAATTATGAAGTAGGCTTGAGGTTAAGAAAATGTTCTTCCCTTCTCATAACATTAGGTGTCCTAATAACTTGTAATGTGCTGTCAGAACAAATGGTTTCTGGCTTGGAATATAGTTATTTTTGTAGGAAATTCCAAAAAGTCTCAAATTTATATCAAGTATTCAAAATTGAAATAAGGTATCAGACAAACATTCAACTTACTCATTTCAGCTTACTATTTGTTTTCTGGCACTTGCTAAAGCAGATTTTAATGCAAATGGTGTCTACTTGAAAAATGAATGGAATAGGTTTGGAAGTAATTTCCTGCTGTCATTTTATTTGTGATTTCATGACAATTAATATCAATCAATTAACTTTTGTTTGGAATTTACCTATAATTAATAGAACTGGAAGAACATTTTCTGGTTAAGCTATCTTACTTTTAAAGTTTCTTTTTTTTCAGTTTGTTGTAAATTTGCTGAGTAACAGACCAAGGAATGATGTGCTCATTTGTCATCTCATCAGAAAGCCTTTTCTGAGCACATTTCCACAAGAACTCCAGTTCTTTATTTCTGTAAACTATTATCTGTCTTCTTTTCATCATAGTTCTGATCATCCTCTGAATTTTCCTATTTTTGAATTGTTTACTTGCTTATTTTTTACATGCCCCATTTGAATACAAGTATCTTAAGTGCAGGGACTTTGTTTTGTTCATCGCTGTATTCCCAATACCTATAAGATCAATTGGTATAAAAGAGGGGGTAAAATACATCTGATGACTGAATAAATGAATAGTACCACTTAGTACTGATGAAGAGGTAGAGAAATGAGAGACAGTGGTGAATGATATTAGTAAAAGGAAAAGACAGAGGAATGGACAACTCTGATACTAATATATTTTACAAGCGAGCATGGTGGGGGCCACAGAGCACATGTTGAGAATAAACGAATTATCTCCCTCATCAACCAACAAATGGAGTGCCTTGAACAGTGAGTAGAAGAATTCTGTAAGGAGTTATTCCATATTTAAAAAGAGAGACATCTTAAATGTTGGGAGTTCTCTATTTGGGCTAATAAAATGAATCAAAATGACCTACAGCAGAGTATTCAGTATCGATGCAAATGGAGTGACTCCAATGCCTCCAGCCACACAGAGGCTAACCTCATAGTTCAGTGATTCTTCAAATGGACTTCCAAATGGGCCATCGATGTACAGCCTGTAGATGAGGCAGATGAAGTTAGGGAAAACAAAAATAAGGTAAATTTATTTTCTATAATATTGATCATAAACATGTGGAATCTAAGCCTTTATTTTGGGTTTTGTGATGGCTCAAGTCTTATTTCCATGTCTCTCATAGTTAAAAGCTTAAAGGAATAAAGAATGTTTGTTGTTGTTGTTTTGTGCCGTCAACTCGGCCCCGACTCATAGTGACCCCTCCTTGGGTTGCTGAGGCAGTGTCACTACGGACGTAGATTGCCCAAACTTCCTTCCGAGGAGCGGCTGGTGGGTTTGAACTGCCAGCCTTCTGGTTAGGAGTCAAATGCCTTAGGCACTGTGCTACCAGAGCTTCTAAATACTGTTTAGGAAATGTCAATATTAAAATAAGTTCATATGTTTCTAAGTACATCCTTTTATGCAGGAAAACCTGAAAAATAAATGTGTGGAGAAACGTAAACAGGAACATGAGGAATAGCTAAGGACAAATTAAAAGTTCTTATCATAATATATGGGAGCTCTGGTAGTCCCTTGAACTAAGTAAAACAAACAATATTTCACCAATTTTTATATGAAAACTTTAGTAACATTAATTACATTTTTTAAGTAGTGTAACCATTTTTGCTATCTTTTCCCAAATTATCCCACAACCTTAACATACCTTCAGTACATTCTAAGCAATTCTAAGCAGGGTTTCCATAACCCTGAGACCAATAGTGCTACTGGCAACCACTTTGAAAGGGATCACAACAGTAAGCCTTGGACATAATGGGAGAAAAATGTAGAACAAACTCAATATAATAAAAGACTATGTTAACTGATCTGATAGGACTGGTGGAACCCTCAAGGTTGTGGCCTTAGTTACCCTTCAAACCTGGAACTGAACTCATCCCTGTGACTCAACTTTCACGCAAACAATAGATAGACCCATAAGGTGAACAGTAATACCAGGGAGGTACTCACCCCTTAGAAAAGTCAGCCAAGCAAGATCAAAAGGGCAGCATTTACCCAGGGATAAAGCTCAGAAGGCAGGAATAGATAGGAAAGAAGGACAAATGGAAATGGTAGCTACAGGGAGGAAGGGGGAAGAGTACTGTTACATTGTGGGGCCTGCCTTCAATGTCACAAAACAAAATGTATATGAACAGTTGAATTGAAACCAATTTGCTCTGTAAACTTTCATTCAAATCACATTAAAACAATAAATAAAAAAGAAATATCATATGTTTTGTGTGCATATCACTGAAGAGAAAAAGGACACTCTTAAAACAAGGCTATTAGTAGAAGATAACTTGAAAGTTAATGATACAATACATTGGATTCTTGATAGAAATCTCAAAATGTCAGTGACTTAAAAACAACCTATATGAATTGGTTCCATCAATTCTCACCAAATCAACAAAACATAAACATTAAGCAGCAAAATTAGGATTTTAAAAAATTAACAACCCTCCGCCAAAAAAATCCAACTGCAAAACAAGATTTCCTGCAAATCTCTACAACAATTTTAGAATTCATTAGACCTGATACAAGCTTCTCTTAATTAGTCATTCACTTATTAATTTACTCCACATATACGTTTATATACCTGCAAGTGTTAGGGACTGTTCTAAGTGTGAGAGATACAAAACAGAAAAATTCCCTGACTTCATGGGCCTTAAATTCTAGTGGGGGAGGGAGTAGCCTGTAAATAAAGGTACCAAATAAATAAATAATACCTAGGAGCTCTGGTGGCACAGTGCCTAAGGCACTTGACTGCTAAACAGAAGGCTGGTGGTTCAAACCCACCAGCCTCTCCTTGGAAAGAAGAATGGCAATCTATTTCTGTAGAGATACCACCTCAGAAACCCAAGGAGAGGTCATCATGAGTTGAACTGACTCAACGGCAGTGAGTTTTTTTTTTTGTTATTGTTTACCTGTATGATATAGTTTGACTGCTAACCAGAAGGCTGGTGGTTCAAACCCACCAGCTATTCCTTGGAAGGAAAGTTGAGCAATCTACTTCCGTAGTGATACTGCCTTGGAAACCCAAGGAGGGGTCACTATGAGGCATATCAGACTGCATGGCAGTGGTTGTGGTTTTTTTTTTTTAATATAATAAGGAGCTTTGGTAGCATAGTGCATAAGGCATCTGACTGCTACCCAGAAGGTTGGTGGTTCAAACCCACCAGTCACTCTGTGAAAGCAAGACTGGGCAATCTACTTCCATAAAGATTTACTGCCTCAGAAATCCAATGGGGATAGCTAGGAGTTGGAATCAACTCAATGGGAGTGGGTTTGGTTTTGGTCATATGATATAATGTCAGGCAGTGAGAATTACTTTTAAAAAGAGGTGAAACATAGTAATTGTTGACGCTTGATGATTTGGCACATGGAGTTTCATTATAGTATTCTATATAAAATATACCTTCTACCCTCAATAGTTTTGGGGCTGTTCACTTCTTTATTCATGTCTAACTTCCCTAAGGACAAGCACAAGGATATTTAATTTGTAAATGATAAGAGAAGAATTATGTAAAACACCCCATTCCAGTTTGTGTGTTTTCCAATTACCACAGTAATATAAGAATTCAGCTTGTGGTTCTAGTAACTTACCAGGGATGGGTATGGACAACTTGTTTATATTCCCTAAATCTGATTTCCTCATTTATAAAATGGTTGACGAGATATGATGGCATAGAAAAAGCCTACTAAAAATTATAGAAGGCCATACAGATGTCAGAAATGCTCTTCTTTCACAGCATCAATGAGCACGTACAGTGTGCTACAGGCCATCCTAGAGGACCAGCATCCAGATTAAAAAAAATGGACTGACTTCAGTATGAGGTGGAAAATGTAGAAGGGAATTTGGTTTGGAGAACCTTTGAGAATCAGCTGTTTTCCCATTGGAAATGCCTTCTCTCTCTCTCTCTTTTTTTTTTTGCACAGGTTAAGAAAAAATTTTGCTCTTTGTGAGGTAAGATGAAGAATGAAAGTAGTAGTAATTGTTTATTTGACAACCCTTGAGTTTTTGAGGGAGGAAGAAAGAGGAACTATTTACATCAACATTCACCAATATAATATGATTAAAATCCAAAATTTGTTATCTTTTACTTATAAATGGTGATTTTTCATCTATCTTAGCACCAAACACTCCAAACCAAACTCACTGCTGTCAAGTAGATTTCAACTCATAGCGAACCTTCCTTGGGATTTTGAGGTGGTATCTCTACGGAAGTAGATTGCCCAGTCTTCCTTCCAATGAGTGCCTAGTGGGTCTGAATCACCAGCCTTCTGGTTAGTCGTCAAATGCCTTAGGTACCATGCCACCAGAAGGTATTTGACAGCTAACCAGAAGCCTGGCAGTTCAAACCCACCAGCCACTCCTCCAAAGGCAGACTGGGCAATCTACTTCTGTAGATATACCACCTGGGAAATCCAAGGAG